AGGTCGTGGAGCAAAATGGTATTTATATAATTCAATAAATATATATAAAAATTCAAATATGCCTTTGAATTTTTCTTAAAAATTGGCACGAACTCTCCGGGCAACCCAATAATTTCATAGATATTCATGTTGTAACAGTAATTGAGCAAAACGAATCATGCACAATTCAGTAATGTAACATAAAACATAAACTATTGTGCATGTATTACTTATAATAATAAAGGGAAAGAAAATTTTGGGACAATCTAATACTTGAAATTTTTCATTGTTGGCGTTCTAGAGCATATCGAAATGGTTTAGATCAAACTAGAAATGTTATGAAAAATTATTTGTTTCTGAGAAACTAAGATTTAAGAATTTATCTCCCAGGTGATCGATTTATTAAAAAAGAGTGAATTAAACATTTATTATTTGGGTGACTTCTTATTTAATTTGATACCATCTTAAGTGATGAAAATTATTAAAATTGACCAGGAGTAACCTGAAAGTACCAACGCTATGGCTATCATTGTTTTAGAGTCTGAATGCTCAAGGTCAGTTAAAAGTCGCAAATCTATGCATGACTGAATACATTGATATTAATATCTACAACAAGATATGAGAGATAAGAATGTATGCTTTTGTGTGATAAAATATCGGTGACTTTGAAAAATGACACACCATTTTTTGTCACACAAACACTCACAGACAGGACGTTCTGCATATTGACACCCACAAATTTCGTTTATTTTAAAAATACATTAATTGAGTAAGTGTTTGGAACTTTAATTGTATATATCAAACTGTAACGATTATAAGACTGGTGGTATATTTACAAATACATTCACTGGAAAGTTGTTTAGTCTGAAAGGGGAAGCCTGATAGTACAATTGAATTTTTGTCCAGACGATTAGCCGCGTAGCTGCGTTGTTGTATCAACCTTATCATTGCCAACAAGATAAATAACATTTTTTAACAATTCTTTGCGGAATATTGCTACACACATTACTGATAAATTGTTCGTCGCTTTCAGTTTGTAATAATGATTTTTCTTGGTCATGTCACAGTATAGCTATATAAACTATTAAGTTCAAAGTTTTACTAAACTATTTTCACTATTCTAAGCTATGAAAATCATATCAAGTATTCATGCCACTATTTTCGAAATATTTACTCAATCTCTCTAATAATAGTTTTATACTGAAGCATTTTATTGTAGATAATAATACCTATGAATGTTAATTCTTCCTTAAATTCTTTACATCATTTGGGAATCTGTGCTACGGAATGTTAACATGAAGAGGGCCAGAATCACAACTGGTCGAAACGACGTCGTAAATATTAATGAAGTTACTTCCGTTCATTGCTCCAAAAACCAAGTTTTCTTCTTCCACTTTCACACTATAAGACGGATTGAATACAACTATACAGTTCTATTAAAGAAAAGAAGAGCACGGCCTAACAAGTTTCCCAACCAATGATCAAAATAGACATTTAATTCCATCATTGCATTCAGCCTCCGAAACAACATTGTTCTGTATAACAAGATTCCAATGTCTTCGACAAATACAAAAATAACTGATTGCGAGTACACGTGCGCTACGAGATACGATACGACGGATCACTGATATTTTTCATGTTTAGTTTTCCGACCCAGCAACGTTTCACCTGTACCACGCATTCCGGGTACTGTTTACAAAAGACGAGACGTATTATCGAGAACACTCATTAAACGCCGGTTGCTTTCTGGTTTGGAACATGAAAGGGAGAGTCTGCACGAGCAGAAGAAAGAGATAACGTGGAACGAGCCAGCCATACGGCGTACGTGACCGACCGCACTACGTCGTGTTCTCACTCTCGCCTCGGCTCTCTCGTTTGGCACTCGAGCTCCCTGAAAGATCATTGTAATTTCGGGATCCTGACCTTCTCTGCCTACCACTGTCTCTCCGTCCCCTCGCCCTTACTTCATCTCCTCAACGCCTACGAGATTAAACGCCGATATTCACGGGAACGCGATGTTCTTTCACGCCGATACCGAGCGTTTCATGACAAATCAGGAAAACGTGGAAGACCTGTATCCGTGTGACTAACTCGATTACGACAGACATTGCGGAAAATAATAGTTTGTTTTCCCAGGTCAGTCGTACAAATAATTTATTTCGACGAACTAGGTTTAATTGATCCTGCATAATTCGGAAAACAAAAAGCAACGTTTATTGATTCATTTACGATGGATTGTCAACAGAAAAGTTATCATTACTTGTTCAATATTAAATATTTCATTCCGTATTTATAATTGAAAATCGATTACACGTCCGACAAATCGATATTTTACGCATAATCAACGTAATACAATACAAAATTTATCGTTTTAACTACAAGTAAAAATTACTTATTGCGAGAACTACTAACTGAATCAATATTATGTTACATGCTTAAAACTAAACATAAAAATTTATTTTAAATCTGCCACTATATCATTATATGATTATATGCCACCATAAATAGTTCAACTATGATCTTTGACAAAACCAATTCATTTAAAACCAAGCAGATCGCTACGTAATGCTACAATGTGCTTGTCATGTGTACAACAACTGTACTTTCAGCAAATTATGCAGTTGCATTAAAGTTTCTTAAACCTAGTGGAAATATTAAGAATATAGTTATGTTTGTTTACCTTAGTTCTTCCATTGATCGTATAATTTCCCATCTTTCCATTGTTCCGCATTTTGTTTGCCCTCATAATGATAGCATCAACTTGGGATATAAGCATTCCAATATTTTGACATTGTTTTTCTTTTCCATCCAGCCACGTTATTTGATCACCACGAATTGTTTTTAAGTCATTTGCACCTGCTTTATTAGAAACCAACTGTCCATCCTTAAATAATCCAGCACTGTACATATTTAAAACTTCGTTTAACACTGCGAGACCTTTATCTGTGCCTAGAAAATTGTCCACCACGCACACACCATATTCATCCATGTCCCTAATCACATTTCTGCATATTTCATCTATTAACTCTTCAAGATTATTTCTATTTTTGTGAAGGAAAGGTGGTAAAAATTCCTCTTCGCGAGCCAAGTGAACCTCCGGGAAGGTCTTCATACCGTTATGATGATGGGTAGGCATGTTTAATTCATTATCTTGAAGATTATCAAGAATTCTTGAGCTCTCTAGAGCAGGATTCAGTAGTTCTGCTCTGGCCCCTAGGATTGTATCTTCTGAACTTCCTTCGAATGTTATAGGAGAAGTCCAACCATCCGCTCTGCTATTACGAGTACCTTTTGCCTTAGTGCTATTGGGTTTACTCTTAAGACTTTGGCTTTTCTTATCCGTTGATTGTCCTTTTACTTCTTCTGCTTGTTTGCTGATTCCTGTAAGCAATACAATAAAATATGTAACACTAATTCCAATAAAACAAAACTGATAAACATTGTATCAATCCCCTTTAAAATGAATCTTTAGTTAGATATTTACCAAAGTAAAGGCAAATAAAATAGTAGCTAAGCTATGAAATACATATATTTCAAAGTTAACCTACAACTGTCACAGATACCATTTCATTTTTATTTTTACCATCATGATACTTAAAATATGTCATTTGACAGTTTCAAAATATGAACCAAAATAAACTGTCTTTATTGACATTACTTTATCGATTTTCTCAAGCTTTCATGTTACATTTGAAATACACTTATTATGCCATCAATAAAAATATTTCAAACATTATTCAAACCCAGATATTACAAATAAATTAATTTAAACAAAGCTGTACTTTCAACAAAATAATATTTCCAAATCTAATTCCGAAAACAGTATACCAATGAAATAGTATTTTATTCCAATTGCAATGAACCAGATGAATACTAAATTCTTTGGTATTCAGTACTTAAATGTATTTCACTAAACTTTGTTCCTCCTTATAGAGCAAGGCAACTTAGTATGTACAAAATAATCGATAATAATAAAATTCAAAGAATTGACAGACTTCGGAGAAAAAAGTGAGGAAGGTAATAATTGAATTTTAGGTACCTTCAAGATGTTTCGCCTTGTGATTCACTTTCGGGACGGTGTTCGATCCCCGCGTTGTTTCTGACACTGGCTTCTCGTTTAGGTTAGAAACCACTGGTGTAGTCGAGGGCTGGCAGTTTTCAAGGGAGGAATTTTTCTTGGCAGACTCCGGAAGGGAATTTTTATTAGCAGCTGAAACTGTATCTGGCACAATCGATCGTACAGAATGAGTGGCACAAAATTCTTTATGACGTTTCCAATCCCACCTTTGGTGTTCTTTGGTGCAATAGAAGACGGCCTTGCACCGTGAACACCTTAACAGCTTGTCAGTTCTGTGACAAACTACGCAAACCACCGTTGCACCTATTTGAACATCACCGCCGGGTGTCTGTGCACGACTGACTATCGGTCCGGACATGTTTCGTCGTTTATTTCGCGGCCACGAGTGCCGACGACATTTCTCCAACGAGGGAAATCACACACGCACTCGATCTGCGTACGGTACTACGTCGCTATCGGGACCGCAGCCGCACTGCTTATACGTATGATCGTTTCGTTTACATACCACATGCACATGCATACAGGGTTTGCTAAAATTAATGGGCCAAACTTGTGGTTCTTAACCTTTTTAACCTTCAACTACTATCGCTGAATCATATAATTCGATCCGAGAGAAGAAAGTTTCTTTGTTTAAAAATAAACGGTCAGAGTTCATCTCTTCCGTTCTAGGTATTTCTCTGTTTAAATTTTAAACAGAAGATGTTTCCATATAAACTAATCGTTTGTTTTTAAACAAAGAAATTTTCTTCGCTTGGGCCAAGTATGGCTCACAATCAGCCATAACGACGCTGTTTAGAATGGGAATTTCAAATTACGATTAAATTGGTTCAAATTACATTTTCGAGTGAGTTTGACTTTCTACATATACATATTGGCGAGACAGTAATCAAAATAAGTCAAAAAAGCGTTAATAAACCCGACTTTACGGAACTGCGGTTAAAATGATCTGTACTGTAAACACATATAGTACTTATCAGAATAGAGCAAAAAGATGTTAGTAAGCATGAGTGTAGAAATCAACAGTTATTGAGTTACGTGTAAGGATAAACTTTATTTCATTACAATAAGTGTTGAAAGTGTATCTCGTCCGTTTTGATAAATTCATCAACACATTTATGCCTAGTTTTCCCCCTTATTTTTTTATAAGAGGGACTGTTAGTAATCGCTACCAAATACGATACTGAGGCAACTGTCTTACAGTAAGTAACTTATAATTTGTGTGTTTCTTTTTTTATTGATGAAATAAGAAAACACAAAGAATGTGTCGAAATAGAAGGAAGACACTTGAGATACTTGATACGACGAAATTAAATTTTTATTTATAAATCGAAGATCATCTTTTTTTTTACTTATTTTGATTAGTATTATATGTGCCCACAGTTTGGACCATAAATGTTAGCACACGCTGTATATGTACATATGTGTGTATATTATCGAATCTGCGAAACACCTATAGGCGTAACAGTGATCAAAACACCAATCTTCAATGTCCATTAGTTCCTACTACGTTTGCACGTAGTCTTGGATGTATATGATTGTGGATTAAAACGGATCGCACCAAATCAAGTCCTTTCTTTGAAAGTTAGATATTATTTTATACGTTCACTGTCCTTAAGATAGCGCCACTTTATGACAACCTTTTTTGACATCTAGAACATGTTTTGATATATTCTACAGTTTACGAAAGCAATCTTTGATTACCTTTGCGCTAGGTCATGAAACCGTTCCTTTATTACGTTATGCAATGTATGTACGATGGTGGTGAAATTTTTTTGCCCGGTGAATGCGTACTGTGTAGTTCATAAAATTCACTTTATTAAACACAAATAAAAAGGAAGAACGCTAGTAGTTTTACAGTTTTATGTGAAAACGAATTCCAAATAAGCTTACGAACAGAAGAAATAAATCAGTGACTATTATTTTGTATAAATATGTAAATGCAGTATTTAATCATGTAACAAATATTGTAAGGAACTATTTTGTATAAACTATGAAATAATTGTTGTGATATAAGCCAAATAAATTTCTATTAATATTTATTTACGTCATAACTCATTTTCCCTTTCAATGTATTCATAGATTTGTTATTAAAATTTTATTTTCTACACTGCTCGTGTTTTTTTCCCTTCAAAGAATACAAGTGTGAGAATTTACTTTTCTGTATAGTGTACATAAAAAGTAATTGTTTCCATAGTTACGACATGAACGATTTACCAAAACATTGCGCGCCTGTATGTATCAGTTGAATAAAATGTCTGTTTAAAGACTAATTCATTAAAATTTTGGTGAATAAACGAGTGTGATTATAAAAGAACATGAGTACATTTATACAAAATGTGCATATAAAAGATGGAGAATATACAAAAACAATTTATACAATGGTAGATTATATATTTATAACTTAATTATTTATATGAATTTATAAGAATGGAAATAAGGATGCTTAATCGTATGTTTTTGTCCATAACTATCAATGTTCAAACAATATACCCAATTTAAGATTAAATGATAAATGTCAAAAACAATTTTTATATTTCTTAATGCAAACACAAAATGGAAATATTCATTTTTCAGATTAAAGAACAACGATATGCAGAAACAATAAAAGTTTTGGTTACACTTCTAGATTCTTATACTTCTGTATGTAACATTACATTAAAATAACATAGTTTTTATTTACCTCAATAATTAACAATTTAAATATGTATATACTCCATAAATTATTTTGCAGTCCAGACCTTGCTTATCACTTCTTGCTCACTGTTATTTCTACACACAAGATTTTATAGCTTCTGCACAGTGTTATGAAAAATTGGTTCAGTTGTGCCCAGATGAAAATGTATACAAATTATATCATGCTCAATCTTTGCATCAAGCATGTATGTACCAAGAAGCTTGGACAATATGTTCCAATATTATTAATCATAGTAATTTAGAATTTAAAGTAAAAAAGCTAGAGGCAGCAATAAAATATGGCCAAGAGGATATGGTTGCTGCAAAAAGTCTTGTGGATCAATGTCCAACAGACGATATTGACACAGAAATCAATTTAGGATGTCTTTTGTATAAGGTATCAAAGTGAAACAAGAATTCTCTTATAAAGTAGGATTTATCTAATTTTAATCTTTTTTTTTTCTTTTAGGAAGAACAGTATGAGCAAGCTTTGAAAAGATTTTCAAATGCATTGCAAATTGCAGGTTTTAAACCTCATTTGTCATATAATGTAGCACTTTGTTACTTCAAATTAAAAGAATTTGCTGCATCGCTAAAACACATTGGTAACAGTTATATTTATTATTATTATCATCATATCTAAAGCATTGTAAATTAAATTCATTCAACTTGCATTGTATTATATATTATGTTAGCTGATATTATTGAGCAAGGTATAAGAGAACATCCAGAATTAGGAGTAGGAATGACAACAGAAGGTATAGAAGTACGGAGTGTTGGAAATACATTGACACTTCATGAAACAGCTTTAACAGAGGCATTCAACTTAAAAGCAGCAATTGAATATCAATTGCAAAATTGTAATTATATACAAAAAATTTAAATTATTTGTTGTATCTAATAGTTTTTGTGATTTTTATTTAATGTTTTTAGATGAAGCAGCAAAAGAAGCTTTAACAGATATGCCTCCTAGATCTGAAGAAGAACTTGATGCTGTTACTTTACATAACCAGGCCTTAATAAATATGGATATAAAACCAAGCGAGGGATTTGAAAAATTACAATTTTTATTGCAACAAAATCCATTTCCACCTGAAACATTTGCTAATTTATTGCTTTTGTATTGTAAATATCAATATTATGATTTAGCTGCTGATGTTCTAGCTGAAAATGTGCACTTGACTTATAAGTATTTAACATCGGTAAGTATGATATTCATTATTACAACATTACATGTACTGTAGATGTATCTGTCACAGATCGTGTATTAGAAATAATATCTTCAGTGGTTTAAGGAGTTATAAAAATAACATAAGAAGTAGCCTTGACTCTGTCAAAATGATGCTGTTTTTCATCGATCTGGATATTTACTTTTTGAATGTTTGCATTTCTTTGTACGTTTCTCTAAACTTTCTGAACGCTTTCGTTTATGAGCTTTAACATCATGACTAGAAGAACTTTCACTAGAATTTTCATTGTCAGAAGAATTACTGTGTTTCTTCTTTTTCTTCTTTTGGTCTTTGGAATGTTTCTTCTTCTTTTTCTTAACTACTTCCTTGTCATCGGAATCAGTATCATCTGTGCCTTGCTTGTGTTTTTTAGCTTTTTGTTTTTTCTTTGCCTTCTTTTGCTTACGTTTCTTCTCTTTCTCTTTCTCATTTGTTTCAACTTGTGGCTGAACTACAACTTCCTCTTCAACCTCTGGGATTAATTCATATTTTTTCCCATCAGGGGACATGAAGCAATCATTAGATAAATGACCAGCTGTCCCACACTTTGTGCATGTAGTATTGAGAACAGCTTCCAAATGTATAGCTTTGCGTTCATATTTTCCTGCTGTTTTTTTCTTCTGCATGTCTCTTTGTAATTCTACACCATTGGGATCCAAGTCTGTGCCATTTCCTTGATTAACATATTTCATAGATAATCCTATTTTACCATCATCCCCTACAGTAATAACTTTGCACCAAACTCGTTCTCCTTTTTGTAAGATCTCTGCTACATCATCGACATGAGCAGAGCTTACCTAAGAAGAGTGTATAAATATAGATAATTTACATATAAATCACTACAAGTAGATGATTTATTATTTATTACAATAATATTGCTATGCTACCTGTGATTTATGTATTAATCCCTGTGCTGAACAGCCGGGAATTCTAATGAACGCTCCATAATTTTGTACAGACGCAATTTCTCCAAGAAATATTTGATTTACCTTACAATTTACCATTTTTATAAATGATAAATATTTTAAACAAAAACTTTGTTGTTTACAATTTTTACGACTATCTTATTTGTATTAAAATAGTAGTAATAAATCAATGACAAGAAAACTTGATGTAAAGGTTAGGTTCACCAATTCAATGTTTAGATGCAGGGCTGTAAGAACCATAAGGTACTAGAGGCGTTAAAATTGAAAGGGTTCTCATACACACTCTTCATCGTGCTTAAAAATTAAATTTGAATATCTTTTAACGTAATAACATTAATGTTACATACATTTCAGTATTTATATGATTTTTTGGACGCATTAATTACACAACAGACTTCACCTGAAGAAGCGTATCGTAAATTTGACGATCTTGGCAACAAACACATGGAAACATTAAGAAAAGCAACGAAACGGGTTCAAGAAGCAAGATTAAATCATGACGATAACGCTGTCAAAAAAGCAGTAAATGATTACGAAGAAGCTTTGGAGAGATATGTGCCCGTTTTAATGGCACAAGCCAAAATTTATTGGGAACTTGGAAATTACATGCAGGTTGAGAAAATTTTTAGAAAAAGCGTAGAATTTTGCAACGAACACGATGTATGGAAGTTAAATGTCGCTCATACACTATTTATGCAAGAAAACAAATTTAAAGAAGCAACGGGTTTTTACGAACCAATTGTTAGGAAAAAATATGATAATGTCAGTTGCTATTTCGTTTTTAATCGTTTTTTTTTTACGATTTGGATATTATGGATTACAAAATCGTAAAAAAATTTCAGATTTTGGATGTAAGCGCTATAGTACTCGCCAATTTATGCGTAAGTTATATACTGACATCACAGAATACAGAAGCTGAAGGATTAATGAAGAAGATAGAGAAAGAGGAACAAGCGGTATCGCGAGAAGATCAGGATCAAAAATTGTTTCACTTGTGCATTGTAAATTTAGTAATTGGTACATTATATTGTTCTAAAGGGAATTATGAGTTCGGAATATCTAGAATAATGAAGAGTTTGGAACCTTATAATAAAAAGTTAGGAACAGATACTTGGTTCTATGCGAAGAGATGTTTTCTGTCTCTTTTAGAACAACTGGCCAAACAATTGGTAGTTTTAAAAGATACAACGCTTCAGGAATGTATACAATTTTTAGAACATTGCGAAGGTATGAATGTCAGTATGACACGTCATGTTACTGTTATTGTACGTGGCATTTATATGATTTTTTTTTTCATTTTTAGTTTACGGAAGGGATGTAGTGACTGTAGTAGAACAACCTTTCGACTTACAAGATATGCTTTCGACTACTCCACAAGGTAAACAGACAGTTGCGTACGAAGCGCGATACTTGAAAGCTCTATTTTTAAAATTACAAATGTCCTAAACTTTATTATATTTGCGTCATGTTATACTATTTTATGGAATATTTATTAAAAATGTATAATATAAAATATTAAAAGAAGAAAATAATTACTACTCAAGGCATATATTATTATTCTTACGAAATTAAATAGATGTTTCGATATTTTGGAGATAAGACACCCTATATGACTACTCCTGTGAGCGGTTTTTAGTGCTAGTGGTGCCATCGGTGGCAAAACGCACAAGTTTGTAGTGAAAGTAGTTCCCTATGTTGCTGCTTGAAGACGCCACTGAGTAAAGGGTGAATTACTTATTGCTGCATTGAATAACTATTTATAAAAATGATAAATTTTACATATTATCTAATATATTTTAGTACTATAGATCAAAGAATTTGACCAATTATGAATTTATGAAAAATAAAGTATAATTAAGTAAAATGTATCGGTGGCGTCATCTTATAAACTCTTTTTACTATAAACTTGGGCGTTTTCCCACCGATGGCGCCACTAAAACCCGCTCTCTGAGCGGCTTAGTGAGCAGTGATCTTTTAGGATGCATCTAATGAATGGAAAAATGGTGGACGACATGGAGCTACAGGAAGCTAAGGATAAAGTCCTCCAGCTCATGAAAGATAAAGATAAAATTGAATCGGAATTGAAAGCATTAAAAGAAATTTTAGATGCCGTATGTATATTGTAAAATACTTTTGCTTCATAATGAACGTTTGCTTAACCATGTCATTGAGAATAAATACAATCCATTTTGTAAACAGCATGACCTGTCAAATTTCCGAAATATGATTATCTTTTTCTGTCAATTATAGAATCGTGTCGGTATGGATGAAAATCTAGTCGATTCTGAAGGATATCCACGACAGGATATTGATGTTTTCCAAGTCAGACATGCAAGACACAAAATAATATGTGCGTTTATCTATTGTATAAGTTTTGTTGTATAAACTTTCTAACTTCAAATTATTAGTACTTTGTTAAATGATTAGGTCTCAGAAATGATCACACTGCATTGATGAATAAAATAGAAGAAGGTCTGCACAAAGTGCATGCTCTAGCAGGAAATGAACGTTCTGTTGCAGCTGCAACAAGTAGTATTCAAGATAGTTTACAATTGGAGCCTTTTTTGAGAGTAAACTTAGTAACCCATGGTTCGCCAGCTGAGTTAGCGGTGAGATATGTACATGAAATATTAAAATAACGAAGAAATTGTGAACTGTTATATTCAGTATATTCATTTTTACAGGGAATTCAAGTTGAAGATCTTATATTAAAATTTGGAGGTATTGATTATCGGAATTTTAAATCATTAAAGGATATTGGTTCATTAGTAACAAGCAGCGAAAATATGCCAATTGAGATAAAAGTTAAACGTGGATCTAATATTGTATCATTGACTTTAGTTCCACATCGTTGGAGTGGCAATGGCCTTCTAGGATGCAATGTAATGTCTATAGAAACAGTTGAAAGATAAAGCTTCTAAAAAAAGTGCATGTTTATAATTACGGATTATTTTCGTGTATGTTAAAAATAAAGGAATATTTGTACATTTTATTAGCTCTAATGATATAATCCTAAGGTTTATACCTGAGTATTTAAAATGGCAGAGATAGTATAAAATGGGACAGAGTTTTAGACAGTACGTAGGGAAAGGAGAGACACTGTTATGTCAGAATGATAACGTCGCATATGTATCGAATTCACGTTAGGAGTCGTCTTCAGTAAGCGCCATCTCATACCGATTACCCGAACTAAACTTGTCACGTTACTTGCTCTGCATTATCCATAAAATTACGGAACTCTTCTTTGGGAATGTTTTCACGATTTTTCGCTTTTCGTTCTTATATTAGCATATTTTGGGTTGAATGAGGGCTCATTCGAAAGAGGAAGGTCCAACGAAGGATGCTCTGTTCATCATTTGTGTCACAAAATCCATTAAATAACGTAAAAATACTTTCATTCTGCGGGTGACTACTTTTTCAATTCTAGCGGCAAGGATAAGAACAATATCATTACAAATTTCATATTATCGTTTGAGGGTACGGCTAATAGGTTAATAATTATTTTAAGCAGTGTATTGCTCGATGGCGTTACCATTCATTTCTCAGTAGAGTCCAATTGGAACGCGCTCCTAAAAGTGTATAAATAATGGCTGGTACGTACAGGAATTATATGAAATTATTAGAAGCTTGGCCATTGGATAGATCAAAACCGGGCAGGTAATTTCATTTGACTTCATAAATGTATCGTTTCTTTATGATTCCCTATCTTTTACATAAATGACATATTTATTTGAATCAAGTCTTCAATTTTTGTATGAAAATGTGTTTGATGAGGTTAGGATGTTTTTTAAAGCGCCGATATACTATTTGTCCCATTTTTTGTATCTAATAGAATATAGTTGCATATAATAACATTTTTTGGATACTTAGTAACGAAAGTGAAATGTGTTATGTATTTTTCATTGAAGTTTTAAGCGTTCTACGTTAATGGTTTGTAATAAAGTTTGATGAATTTCACCTTTTTACCACCATGAAAAATGAAACAGCAATATCGTGATACAGTTGTGAAATTCATTTAAAAATCACTTTTACTTCAAAGACTACATCCAGACACCAAGCCATAGTTTGCAGACCCCTACTCTAAGTAGTTGAATATATAGTTACAGTAGTTTTTTGTCATAGTATAACATTTCATGGTAATTTCTACTTATTTTAGAGATTTAAGTCAGCACATTCGTGATCAAGTAAAGATTGCATTTGCCAAAGGCGAAACCAGTAGTCAATTAAATCGTGAGGTATGTGATCGTTACTACATGTCCTTAAAAAGAATTACATCCAATCATTATGGACAAATGTATGTTCGTAGTCGTATAGACAGTGCTAGTGGGCTATCGAGAGAACAATGTAATTTAGCACTCGCACCAGAACTGCAAGAATATTTCAAGGAAGATAACGGGATTTTTTCACGAACATATTCAAAAATTGTAAATTATTACAATGCTAAAAGCGTTAGCACATAGAATTTATTTCATTTCTGTAGTAAGGCATTATGATATAAAACATTGTAGTAGAAGCATACATATTTCATTACATAGACAAAATGATATTCAAATGTTAGAAAATACCGAAACCTTTAGTCAGAGAGTAATTGAAGACAATGAAAATGCACCACACATACCAGTTATGGCTAAGGAAGTATTACAATACTTAGAACCATCGCCAGGGAAAATATACGTGGATATGACATTTGGTGCTGGTGGACATTCAAAAAAAATTTTAGAATCTTCTCCTGATGTGAAAATATTTGCATTGGACAGGGATCCTGTTGCATATGAATTTGCACAAAAATTGTCAGAAAAGTATCCTGGACAAGTAATACCTCTATTAGGGAGATTTTCAGAATTACCACAATTGTTGTGTGAACATAAAATAGAAAAGAATAGTATCGATGGATTTTTATTTGACTTTGGATGTTCATCAATGCAATTTAATGTTGCTGAAAGAGGATTTTCAATATCGAAAAATGGACCATTGGATATGAGAATGGACGGATTCCGATGTCCCAACGAACCAACAGCGGCCGAAGTTTTAGAAAAAATATCTGAAATAGATTTAACTCAGATCTTGAGAGTCTATGGTGAAGAGAAGCTATCTAAAAAAATTGCACGTGCTGTTATCGATGCTCGATACACTTTTAGAAGTCTAAGAACAACAGAAGAATTAGTTAAACTTATTGAGTCTGTTGTTCATGAAAAAAGACATGACCAAATTGGTAGATCCGCTCATTGTGCTACAAAAACATTTCAAGCACTTAGAATTTTTATAAATAATGAATTAAATGAAATTAATTATGGTCTTATTCTTGCTGCATCATATTTAAAAATTAACGGTCGTTTAGTAACATTATCCTTCCATTCTTTAGAAGATACAATTGTTAAAAGGCACATTACCGGAAATATAACAGATAACGTAGCTAATAAAGATGCATTAAAATTTGTACATCATGGTAAAGTTTATGATCCAATTGAAATGGAAGAAGCCATTAGAACACCATGGAAAATGTTACACAAACATGTAATAACTCCTCAACCTGAAGAGGTAAATTTAAATCCAAGATCGCGTTCCGCAAAATTTCGAGCTATTGGTAAAATCTCTTCAGGTTGATCTGACTTGTAGAACAACAAATGTACAGAATGATTTTATTACGATTTTATTTAGTATAAAATGAAGTTTATCTTGTTGAAACACATGTACATTGTAATACATACTAATGTAAGTATCCTATAATTCAGATGAAAAATAAAACATTTGAATCAAACAGAACAATTGTAACAATTATTACTAGATACTTAAAAATAGGCTATGTCGAATTATAGGAATGTTTACAACATTCAAAATACAACATTTAAAATAGGCCTTCGATTTCATCTGTTTCGCTGTTCCAGTCCATATCGTAAATACTTGGTCTTGTAGAAAGACCTGGCATCATCATTATCTATAAAAATAGCGTTATTACCATAGTTGGATATTATACCTATAAAATTAATAATTGTTATACGTTCGAGTACTTACATCTCCAACCATAGGTACTACAAAACCTGCTCCAACAGACGCAAATATATTTGTAATATCGAGAGTGAAACCTTTAGGTGCGCCTTTAATCGATGGATCGCCCGTTAAAGAGTTCGATGTTTTCGCCATGCAAAGAGGTAATTTATCGTATCCTAGTTTATTGTACAATTCAATTTTTTTCTGCACCTGTATTAATAATTGTTACATATATACATAGAAGTATCGTATAGAACATAGAAACAAAAGTATTTAACAAAATTACTTAAAATTTTATACCTTATCTGCAAGTACAACTTGTCCAGCTCCGTACACTTCTTTGGCAATAATATTAATTTTGTTTTCGATACTGTCACGGAGATCGTACAATAATTTGAAATTACTGGGTTTGCTCGTGGCTGCTATAACTGCTTCCGCAAGGCCTATGGCGCCGGCGCCACCTTCTGCCCAGTGATTGCATATGACTGCATCTGTTGCACCGCTTTTAATCGCTGCATCCTTTACTAATTCTAATTCAGCCTGCGTGTCAGTACTGCAACAGATTTCATACAATTATATATTTCTTAGTATACAAAACTATAAAGTAGAAATTACATTTTGTTAAACTTACGCGTGTACATTAATTGCGACGATAACTGGTACACCAAATTTAACTCCGTTACTGATATGCTTTTGGAGATTCGGGAGACCTTTCCTAACTAACTCAAGATTTTCCTCACGGTATTCTTTTTTCAAGGCAGCGCCAACGGTTACTGGAGGACCACCACCATGCATTTTCAGTGCCCTAACGGTTGTCACGAGTACGACAGCGTTTGGCACATGTCCGGATGTACGACATTTGATATCAAAGAATTTCTCCATTCCGATATCAGAACCGAATCCAGCTTCCGTTACTACGATACCTTCTGGTCCGACTAGTTTCAGTGCAATAGCGTCTGCTATAATCGAAGAACAACCGTGCGCTATGTTTGCAAACGGTCCAGCATGAACCATTACCGGAGTTCCTTCTAAGGATTGCATGAGCGTTGGCTCAATGGCATCTTTCAATAAAATTGCCATTGCTCCGGTCATACCCTAAATTTAATTCCACATAAAATAACGGTATAACACGTTTACGATTTGACGATATACGTTGTAAATATACTAACAAAATCTTCAGCAGTTAAAGGTTCTCCATTCTTGTTGAAAGCTACCACCATGTTACCTAGCCTTTGTTTCATGTCTTCGACGCTAGTGGCGAGTGCAAGTATCGCCATTATTTCAGAACCAACAGAAATACAGAAAGATGTTTCTCGCGTTTTACCTTTTTCGGTTGGGCTCTGTCCGATAGTGATTTTTCGCAAAAATCGATCGTTCGTGTCAACCACTAAAAGAAGCATATTTTACATGTGTTGTGTATTTTCATTTAATGGTTTGTTGTACAGAATGGCGTATTTGAGCCATGTAAATTGGATAATTCGTTAATTTTTTTTAAATAGAAAGGAATGCGTGCGAGAGAAGTCGTTTGATTTTATTTGTAGTAAAAGAACATTTCTACCTTTAAAAAATAAGCGAATCATTCAAGTTATCTGTCTTAAATACTCGACTCTGCATACGTATACCGTATAATACCTCGGGTCCAAGTAATATTTTCGGGATCGATGTCGAGCCTTGCAAATTTTCTGATTTCATCTTCTGTCAAACTATTTGGATCAGTCTTTGTAATACCAAGCTTCTCTAAACGTCTCAACTGTATTTTCGAAAATCGCCTCTCGCCTTTGACTGTCGGTACAAGACGATCGTAAAGAGCCTTGTCGGTTTGAGTAGATTCGTGGAAATATCGAGCATCGATTTGCGCCGCTAACAGATTATTGGCTGCGGTCACAGCGTGGATGTCGCCGGTCAAATGCAAATTGAACTCTTCCATGGGGATAACCTGGATTTAACGGATTAATTGTATCGTGTTTCGGCGCGAAAGATTCATTTGAATTTTTATTTG